GCAATTATTAAGAATCGAGCGCGATTGTAAACAGACAAATGGCAAATTAGGTGAGTGGACAGTTTCGATGGCCAGTCGAAGTCGTTAAGAGCGGTTGATTAAACGGTTACATTAGTGATTAGTTACGGAGATTACTTAGTTCATTATCGCGCATTGTCTGCTCGTTTTGCCATCCATAAATAGAGCGGCAGAATAAAAAGAGAGAAAAAGAGAATCAACTCACAACGACGAAATAACGAGCATATAGAAACTGGTCGGTCTTTATGAAGACACGTGAGATGAGACAGAAGGAAAGGGGAAGCGTTAAAGAAACGGCGAGGAAAGATTCGAGCAAGACAGGCAATTAGTTGTTAGTTGAGATGGTACCGGTCGATCAGAGGCCGGGTATATCTAGATTAAGATGCATTGGAAAGAAAAAGAGTCAAGATTGGACAAAAGAGACGAAAGGAGAGAGTCGGTCCCCTTTTGAAGGACTGAAGTGACGAACGACATCATGGGACTTTGAATGTCTTTGACTGTCCATGTATCGCTGACCTCGTCGTGGGTCTTTCGGGCTGAAGGGAGGAGCCAAACGACTAGCGGAGAACTCTCTTTGCGTGATGTACGAGCACGGGGACCACCCCTGATGATAAAATCCCGAATCTTCCAGCCGGTTTCACACAAAAATCATATTTATCGCGTTACCTACCTGTACTGTTCTTTCTTCACCTTTATAGCCGATGGGTAGATTCGTTTTCATTTTTGATCTTAAACTACCCGTTATGGCCTGCACGAGTAATTGCCATGTATGGTTAAATTTATATAGGTAAAAAGAAAAATTCTTGAGCTCTCGATCACTGTAACAAAATAGACATGAATATGTAATGAATGTCTTCTTTTCTATGATATTTATGTTATGTGTTCTATGGTAATATAATAATGTTTTTGAAAACAGATAGTCATTATTACAACATCGCAGAAACAATGAACAGAGTAATGAAATGACTTTAAAACAATCGATTGTTATTATTGTTTTTCAAATCAAAGTGAGATAGAAGGATCATAATCGGTCGTTACGACTCGCTCTGTTATTTCTTTTATTTATAAGTTTCTTCTCCCTGTTTCCATATAATGGCAATAGATGTGTTGCAAGAAGGGTGTAGAATAGATATAGGAAAACAGCGAAGGTTTTGTTAGACTAGGGCCATTTCTTCCCAAGGGATGAACGCCATTCAATAACTCAAATCCGACTCAATTTTGCGGGAAGAAAGTTTACGCAGATTGTCGTATCCTCGAGGCAGACAACTGACGGCAGGTTTATTGACTTTTTAAATTTATCGCAATACTATGTACAGTTTCATGTTATACAATACAGTTAAATAATAACATAACCTAAGACTTATCATTTATATAAATGTATTCTATACATTTAAAATTAGATATCTGAGAATTATAATCGCATGTCAATTATTGCCATGACATCGCATAAAAATATGTGGCACAGACAGTGACAGTAATTGAGATATGTAATTTCTGATGATAGCAGAATCACCCGACATTACCACCGTGAAGACTCGAGTCGTAAAAAATCTCAACCTAGCAATTCCAAACACACGCGTATCGCGCGGGGAAGAATGAGAAATGCTAGCAGTGCCCAGGCGCATTAAGAGGGCTGTAGGGAACGGCGCCGTAATGAATTAAGGGAAATCAGAAATTGCTTTAAATAGCACCGTAAAAATAAAGTTCGTTTAAAGAAGGGGAACCTCGGGCGGGAAGCACGGTGGAAAGTACGGTAGAAAGAAGAAGACGAGAGCATAGCACCTTGGGTTTCGTGCCGTGGAGGGGTGCTAAGTCGGTGGTGGAATGTGTAGCGCGGAAATTGCCGAGAAACGCGTATTAAAATCGCTGGATTTAGTAGGGAGATAAGCCGCGGCGGTGAGACTGCGGGGGATAAGAGTGGAGATCCGGGGGAAAAAGAAAAACTCTCTTTTACTTGCGCCCCGGCAATGCCGTCGTCTTTCCGCAGTCGTTATCCAAAGCTCAGAGCCTAGACTACGTCACCACCCACCAACATCGCTACCCGACGATGTTACCCGGACTCTCGCGTGGTCCTCAAGAATCCAACTCCTAACATTCGCATCATTTAAGTCGCTATGCACACTTCCGCCTGCTCATTCTTTTCTTCTTTATTGCATGCGGCTTTGTGTATTTTCCACGAAATGCTTTTCCGTCTTGAAATAATTCGATGAAAATGTAAGTCGTTACCGTTTGCGTGAAGCTCGGCGCAAGTACGCAATTTAGCTTTTGGTCTTCGCAAATTTAGATATTCAGAATATAATAAGGTATATTAATAATTTGACCAGTAATGTTTAAGAAAGAAAATATAAAAGATAGTAATAGCGAAAAAGATGATATAGTAATGCAATATAGTGCTGTAGTTATACGGAAAGAACAATTTTGCTGAAGGATTTAAATATTTGACTAAATATAGACTTGAAATAATTTTGTTGGATTATCAAAATAATCATAATATATGAAAGGTTCAAATTAATATATTGCCAAAATATAAAAAAATGTTTATAATATTATCATCATGCTTGAATGTCCTACATAATGATTTTAATGGTTCAGCAAAATTATTTTTCCGATCTATATCCTGATTAAATTTTTAGACTATTCAATAAAATTCTTTTTGTACAGTAATAATTTATTGATGCAAGAAAGTATATTGCAAGAAATCGTTAATTGTTAACGTTTAAATAAAAATATTGCAGCTCATGGATATAATCTAACTATAGTCCGTGAGCAATTAGCTATTACGAAATAGAAAGTTTCATAAATATATATTTTTGTGTGAAACTTTCTGTAGTAAATATATTTTTATTACATTTTTCTACTTGAAAATTCATTCTTTTAGTTAAGAATATAAAGAATTTTTTTAATCAATTTTAGAAATTTTGATGTGATTTGTGTGCAAGGCGCATATTTAGTTAGCAACTTCAAAAACGTGCTACAACTTTCGTAGACCCCTTAAAAGGATGCAGCACAACGTGCTATAGCGCAAGACCAGATGCTCGATGTGGGCTCTGTGATAAAATCTACTTACATAGATATTAAAAATGAGACTTGATATTTTGTAGTTAGAAATACTATATTATATATTAATTTTTATATAAACAACAGTCATTAACAGTCATTACACTTAAGAAGCATCATTTGAAGAAGCTTACCTAATTGAGTATTTTTTTGTGTAAATACGTGTATATTAATAGAGCAGGCTTCTTAAATAAAAATACGACAAAAAATAAATCATTTTCTTTTATGAAAAACTAAATTTGAAGAAACGTTTTAAAAAAGATGCGTCAAAAAGATAATTTCGTAGAAAACAAAATAACGAAAAATAACGAAAATGTTTTATAAAGCTTGTTTACTTTATAGAGAAGGATTTAACAATTTTATTCATTAATCCGTATATGTATTTTTATATTCTTTTATCTGAACCTGTCTTCAAATCGATGAAGAAAACCGGCACGCGCCCGAGTATGTGTAAGTATATACACATCGTCGGAGGTAATAATCCATCGGAGGATTCCCCCTTACAGCACTGTGCCCACTCAAATGGTCGTAGCCCGCGCTTTTATGCCGTCGTAAAAGCGCAGTAACAATTAATAAGTATCTCGTAAAAGCTATTGCCGTTGACACCTTTTTGAATGACAGGGGCGGGCTAAGAGAGTACGCCATCGTCGGCACCCTTCAGCATCTCCGTTTGGTCGCGCCGACTTGTGAACGTCAACTAAATAGCAACGATAAGATTGGTCATAAATTTTATTTACGCGTGAATCGTTACTTTTAATCGGACAGTTATGCGAACTATTCTGCGGATGCTATCTATCACTTCGTCTGACATTTTAACACCTCTTATGTGTTTACCATTTAACATGAAACGATCCTTACAGGTAGTAAAATATAAATGTGTAGTAATGGATTTGCTATGCCGTATTACAATGCAGAATAATGTTTGCATGATACTAATATCTGTTTTCGTTATTATTTTCTGAATATTAATTTTCGTAATTATAAAATTCTCGTTAATTATTCGTATAATTTATTTTATGTAATGTTAGATATTAATATTTTCTAATCTTTATTTTATATCATATTATTTTATATTATATTACAATTTTTTTCAACGATGATATATTTATATAAGGTGAATATAATTGCATGTAATTACACATAATTGCGTATATTTGCATACATATACATATTTCTGATGATGAGAAAAAATTGGAAATATACATATATTTTACACACACACGCGCGCGCGCGCGCATACACACGTACATCTTGAATTTTATTTTAGAAATTTCAGAATTATCCCACATATAGAAAACATAAATATTAACATTTTATACATGTTATTTATAAAGTTAAAATAAATAATCAAAAATAAAATTGAATTTTTTAGTAGAACCTTATAAGACAAAACTTTACCAAAAAATAAAAATAAAAAAGCTTTGTCTTATTTTATGATTTTATAGATTTGAATTAAAAAGAATTTAGTTTTATAAAAAAACTTAAAAAATTAATGCTTTTTAAAGATAAAGAAAATTCTTTTCTTAGAATTAGCAAATAATTCTAACACCGAAGAATTCTAATTCTAAAGTAGTTGTTTTAACATTAGATGTTAATTGTTTTTTTCTTTTTGATATTTCTCAAAAGCATAAAAGCATAATAAATGTAAAAATGGACAGTCTAGAAATACATGTAAATGTAGATATAACATAACAAATATAATTTCGAGCTACATTGCGGCATTTTACGAGTTGCGAAGAGAACAAGGGAACAGACTAGATAATATTACGCAGAACAGATATAGAGAAACGGTAGCCACAAACCCGCGGTCGGGTTTGCGTCGTTGGCTTAATTAAGTTACATGTTGGTCGCATTGTTCTGAATATACATATAAATGTCAGAATAGAAGGTAGAAAGGAAATATTAATTTATTTTAATAGCAGTTCTTCTTGTCGAATCTATTATATTCTATTGAGTTTCCGATATTCTATTAAGTTTTCATACACATCATCATGTTTAAACTACAACTCTTACAAATAATATTGTGAAAATATAAAGTAAGGATGCAATATAAACTATGTTTGAAATGATTGAATTAAATCGATAATAATGCTTACGATATTCGTTTATAAATCTTATTACTCATGACAGGAAAAAAATATAGACAGAGATGTAATCACAGAAGTAACGAAAAATAATAAGTTTCTTGAGATATATATCTCTAGTATATATGCATTACTTAATCGGATTTAGAGAATAATCCAGGATATCGACGATAATTAATTATGTCCTACTGAATAGGATTAGATTGAGTATACCAATACTCTATGTCGACATTTCTGAGGGGTATGAACGAGGTGCGTATAGAGGCACGAGGGTAGAAGCATTCGGGTAGCGCTAAGCCAGCTTTCTCAGCTGCGGAACGCAGAAGGGAGCGCGGAGTGAAAAGGGGTATCGAAGAAGGGATGGAGGGCAGAGCAATAGCCTTTACGACTTGGCCATAGTATCAAACGATCTATCCTGCCATTAAGATAGTCTCAGAACGATTCGGTAACCTTTGGGTCCGTGGAAAGCGATACGCTATCGACTTCGTAGCTTGGCCGCGGCATTTTGTGAACGGATAAGAAAGGCACTCTTCCCCCTGCCGATTCGTCCTTTCACCCGTCGTCATTTCGTCTTCATCCTTGAATGAAGGTGCCAATAAGGTTGACTGCTGCCATTCCTAGAAAGAAGATTTTATCTAGTCTCACTTTTCGGTCATATCGTACACATTTTGACACACGCTCTTCTGTCAATTCGTCAGTTCTTTCAATGTTATGATGGTATAAGATTTTCGATTTCAATATTACGAGCTATAGAACATATATGTATTCTAAGAACATGTAGCATATGCTTCAATATAGAATATTATAGAAAGCGAAATCAAAACGTGATCAAATATTTTTTGATTAATATTTATCATAAAAAGATTACAAAAAATTACTATTGTAAATTATTATCGTAAAAAATTTACAAAAAATTCGATAATAATTGACTAACTTTAATGAAAAGAGTAATTCAAGAAGTTACTTATCATAGAAAGTTAGCATTTATCATTTATCTACCCAGCGTCTTATTTTTGATTATTTTTAATACAGATGGAATATTTTTTAAAGTGCATATTTTTCAAAGTTTCACAGCTGTTTATATCATAAGAGATGCATTAAAGTGAACTGTTCATCAAAATAATTTCATTTGGGATGAACATGCATGCATATTATACAAAATGCAATACAAATGTTCACTGAGGTGAATCCGGGGAGGTGGTAGTTTGGAAGGGAGGATACCATGCATATACATCCAAGGGAATGGAGCGTCATGCGCCAAGAAAGTGGGGACAGGGCTTGCGCGGCAACGTAGCTTGGGAAGCGCCGTGTTGACGGGGGGGGGGAGGGGGGTTTCCCTGGTACGAGAAGAGGGGTATGGTACCGCGAGAGTTTCCAGGATAGTCCAAGGGGGTGGAAAAGGGGTGGAATGGAATGGAATGGAGTCGAGCGTAGTGCCCGTAAGGCGAGGTGGTGCCGAGGGGCCGAGAGGACCGAAGATTGATAATGCAATTCCAAGACTGCCATTATCCCCGTCCACCCAACTCGCTCCGGCGCTTCTATCTTTTTTGCTTCTGCGTTTCTCTTGCCCGCTTCTTCTCCTCCATTCCTCTCTCACTCCCCGGCCATCGTATGAGGACCGACAAGTTTTAGAAATGTTAACTCCATAAATGTCACGCCGTTCCTTTTTTTTCCTTTCGAGAGAAAAGAAAAGGCAGGTAGGTAGGCGGTCTGATATACAATCTCGTTTATGGCAAATAGAAGATATTATTCGTGGGAATTAACTACCTCGGATAAACGCTGAGTCATTCAGACTCGCCATATTAGTTTTTTGTGCTAACTTCGTTCTGCGGATTTTGCGGTAAAAACCGCGTTTTAACTTTCAAAACTAATAATTAAATTCAACAAGAAAGAAGAGAAGAGAGCTAATTACAGTTTACTTTTAATTCTTTTTTAATATAGAAAAGAACCATGGCTTGGAAAAATTCACTCTGAATCTTAATACTGGATATGAAAAGGGGCAATTCTAAGCCCGACGTCCAGAAGCTCGAAGATTGATAATCCAATTTCAAAATTCCCATTATCTCCAACCATCCAGTTATCCCTCCGGGCCTTCTAAACCTTCCTAGGTTTTTCTTTAGAACCTTTTACTTCTAAACTTATCCATTTTCAAGAAACGGATTTTATATAACCTTTTTCTTTCTATCAAAATTTCTACGAAATAATTTCTATGTTTTCTAGAAATAATTATAACATGTAACTTTATGTGGATGTCGCAAAATCTTTTTTTAACACTTTAGAGGAATATTCCCTGCGCGAAATACCTCTTTCGCCTTTCGTCTGATATCCTCCGGGAGATGCCGACTGGCTGCCGTTGGCGTTGCCCTGGGAACCCCCTCAGAGCCGTATTTCCTTGGCAGGAAAGCTCGCGTTTTCGCCTCGCTTCCCAAATCCCGCCAGGAAAGTTTTCGCCGACTGTGTGTTTGAATGGATGTTGAAGTAGAAAGCGAGGGGGTAGTCAGGAGAGTACGTGCTGGTTGTGCAAGCTTTTCGAAAAATACGATTATAACGATAATTGTATCTGCCGACTATATCTTGTTTATTCTTCGGTTATGCACTTAGGCACTGTGACCGTAACGTGAATATCGTCAGATTCAAATGGAGCACAGAATATAATGCAATCGACACTGCTTTACTCAATATATCGTAACATTGTAGAAGAGTTTATCAATCATTTATAATGTAAATAAATTCGTAGTAAAGTAATAATAACTTCAACGTAAAGTAATATCAGTATAGCGTGTTTTCTTTTAACTATCATATGTACTATCTACGCAATCAATAGAATTAATGTATATGATAATAGAATGATTTCTTTTTATAATTATATTGATACATGTAAAATATTTTATATAAAATATTTTCAAGATTTTTAAAACATTTCCCTGATCCCCCCTCCTTCTCTTTCTCTTTCTCTGTTATTACTATAATCTTCTCAAAATTATGCTTTTAATATAAGCTTTATCAAAATTAATATGTTTTATTTTTAATTATAATATTTGCAACAACATTTATACAAAAGATTAATATTACAAGAAATTATATAAAATATTACGTAAATATTATGAGAAATTAAATATTATATAATTTTATATATATAATTTTATATATATAATATAATATTTTATATATATATAATTTTATATATATTATATATATAATTTATATATATAATTTTGTGTAAATTGTATAAATGCGAAACAACTGCAATCAGAATAATTATTTTTTGATAAACAAAAATTTATAAATTACATACATAGATTACATAATATGTTTATATTGTAAGAAAGTAGCATCGATAAACTATTAAGGAAATTATATTATTAAGTTATATTATTAAATTGTTATATTATTGACACTCTCAAAAGATATACCAATGTCAGTTGTAAGTGTACCTGAGGAAATTGGACCCTAATTTTCGCTTGGTCATATGGTTACACTACGACAGTCTATCGAACCGATCTCAGAATTATAATGCATAATATTAGCCTGTTGTTTACTAAGTACCATTTCTATATATATTATTTTATTTTATTTTTTATTTATTTATTATTATTATATATTACTTATTTTATTATTTTTTTAACTATAAGGATAAATTCAAAGAGCGAACTTTTATTATCAATGAGGAGCTTCTTCTAAGGTTGGCGGGAGAAAAAGCACATGTTGAACTAAAAAGAATAAACAAAGAAAAATATTTGATAAATAATTTTAAGAATGTTAAAGAGAATGATAAACATTTCTTAAAAAAATACAACAAACAAAGTTTGTGAATTTTTTGATGCATATATATTTCTTTTTTGTACCTGTATCTTCAGATTAAAGCACTTTTGCAATAAATAAAATAGCTAAAATTATAAATTTGCAAAATAATATTTTCTGTAAAATATATAGACATATAAACATGCTCATTAGGAGCTTTAGTAAATTCAAGATACTAAAAGGCTATGCAAACAGAAGAGTTTACCGAGAATAGCGACGCATTGAGGAGGAGATAGGAAAGTGTTAATCCTCCCGAGCAACTTTGCTGTAGGGAACTTGCACGCTCATGCCGAGAGGATTTCCATCCAATAAATTTGGAGCTTTGTATAAGCTTTCCACGCTTGAGTTTAAATCCCAGTGTTGGCGCGAGCTTACGTGTAACCGTGTTGGGAACGCTATATATCTGCAGTAGAAAACTCACTTTTCTATCGCTATTTGTTAGAGGACATTCATAACAAAGCATACAAAAGCAATTTAATCGACAAAAGCGACAAAATTAATGTTTTGTTTAATAAAGCAACAAGATTAATTACACAAACGGTTTTATGAAGTTAAAACTTTTCTAAATATTTCTTGCGTATTTTCGCGTTCGAAAAGATCTAACATGGATAGTGATGAAGAAATCGTGGATTTTATCAGTCTGCATAGTATTCGAAAAAAAATCTGCCGACGGAGAAACGATATCATTGCGTATAGGTATTTATAGGCATAGGTCTGGTCGTCACCCTCTTATGCGCAAATACCTGGAGTGAGACTAGGTAGAAGGAAAATTTTCGTGATCTCTTCGTGGTATGGCTCCCCAGGCGCCCTTTCAGTCCAAGGTGGGTCTGGACTGGAACGCGTAACACGCATTTTTATCAAACGTTACGAGCACCGAAACGAGCGGGATGAAAACCAATATCTTACCACCGCATGGGAATTCGCTCCCAATGCCAGCGCACTATTTCCCGTCTGTGTATTCGATCCCTTGTTTACATACCTTTCGTAATCATACGGCCTTTCATCGGGGCCTTTCTAGTATTTCGAACGTATGAAACGCGCAATTACTACTAACTAAATTGATAAATTTTAGAATATTAGTGAAAAATTGATTGAATAATTAAAATGAAATTAAACTAATATTATCGTGACAGTTAATTAAGAAAAGATTTGAAAAAGTCGAAATTTGCGTTATTTGTGAACCTATTCTCTCAGCTTATCCTCAGAAAAAATTATTTCTCTTGTAACAAAAGTAATTCAGATCATTGCAATAATTGAAAAAGAAAACGGAAGCTATTTTGTTTAATATATTTCAATATATTAAATCAGTTAGTCAATATATTTAATTATTACTTTATTTTTAATTATTAAACGATTAAATTATATCGTTTATTTCACATGAATTCTTTTATTGCTACAGTTTTTATTTTCTCTCCCTCTCTTTCTTTCGTACTTAGTATATATAATCGTATATAGTATTTTTTATAAAAATTGTAAGCTATTTATGTGGCATATTTTTATCTGCAAAATATATCATTGTAAATATTCTTTTCTTCACTCTACAATATATTTCTATATTGATGCTTAAATAATAATTTCTTAATATTATTATCGTCAGTAAATTTTATATGTGAAATAGCATATTTTTTAAATTTTATTAAACTTTTTTAATATAAAAATGTATGCTACATTCTCTTATGAGTTTAAACAGTTTTGCTAAATTCCAGCAGTAGTTTAATGAATTCAATCAATCGGTATTTAAGATATATCCTAATAAACTTGATTTTATGATCCTTAATCTGTTCAAAAAAAAAGCCGAGCCGAATTAATTACAAGT